AAAAAGCCAAGAGGAAATTAGGAGAATTGTGTTTTGCACAGATTGTTGCTGTGATCAGAATGCCTTCCAGAAAAGGTGGTGGAAGCAGATTCAATTATGATTTTCAAGAGAAAACGGAACATATTGTTTACTCAATAAAGAAGAATTTCAGGGTTATGGGAATAAGTAGTGAGTGAGACTAATTCCATAGATCTTTCAAAAGAACTGCCTCATCACAGGGGGCTGATTGGCATGTATTGTGTTTTATAGTTCCAAGATCTTGGAAGAACCATAACTGCAGACAGTGCTCTAACTTGAAAAGTTAGAGATTTACTTCTTCTTTATTCGAGCCCCTATTTAGAAAACTCACAATTATGCTGCTCTTTTTTTTAAATATAGTGTCCTACCAGTACTCGCACATTCAGGAATTGTGTTTTGATTCTTCAGAGAATTTCCATGAAGTACAAAGTCCCACTCCTTGATTTTTCTTCCAATATGCATTACTCACACTGCTCCACATTAAATTGTACTTTACCTCCATCTCCCATCCTAATAATCTCGCCATATTCCTAAAATCTTATGTAACCTTCCTAACTGACAGAACTGGCTATTATAGCAGCAATGATCTACTCATTTTTCCATGCCTCATTGACTTGCAATATCCTCTTGTTGCTTGCTGGAGCCTCCCATTTTCAAATTGTCCAACATCATCTGTCTCTTTCTTCAGCTTGATCTACATCCTTCAATCACTGTCTTTAGCAAGTGCTCGTGCCTTAAAAATAGCCAATACAATATTTTTTGAGGATATTCACCAACATTCTTTCCTCTTCCACCATCCTGAAAACTTCTGCATTCCTCTGGTGCTCTCCAGTTGACTTGCTCCATCCATTCCCAGAGCCACATCTCACAACTTTCTAATTTTTTAGATGTCTGAGTTTTATCAGCTCTGCACAACAAGACACTCCAGATCACAACACAGACAATTCTTTGCTCAATATCTCTAATCATCATATGCTGAACAATTCTTTACATCTGCATAATTTATTCTTTGCCATTGTGACAGTAGTTCTAACTTCTTTATGACAGTGTCATATGACAAGATGTCTCCCAAATGCTTAAACTGTGATACCTAATCCAGCATTTTACTATTAATCTTAATCCCTTCTTTCCCATCAAAAGTGTCTTTTTTACATTGATTTTCATTCTGCAAGATACGGTCCTATCAAATTATGATTTTAATTCTTGTGCTGAAATCCAAATCATTTCTATGTTATGCCTCACTAGGGTGGCATGCTAGAAATCAAGCCCTGCTATTCTGATTTGTCACAAAAGTTAAAGATTTTTAGAAGGAGCAGAATTTCCCAATTTACATGATTTTAGACCTATGTTGAGAGAAAGCAGGTTACTGTGTTTCACAATTCCAATATAATGGAAGGACCATAATTGCAGACAGAAAGGTTACAGAGCTTTACTGCTTCTTTATTTTGTTATTCAAGCCCCTATTTAGAAAACTCAGCATATGATGAGCAGAGAGATATATTGAGCAATATCTGATAAAATTCAAATCTCCAAAAATTAGAAAGTTGTAAGACGTGGTTCTGGGGATGGATGGAGCAAGTCAACTGGAAAGCACCAGAGGAATGCAGAAGTTTTCAGGATGGTGGAAAAGGAAAGAATGTTGGTGAATATCATCAAAAAACGCCAGTAAGGTTGGATTGGCCAAATTTTGAGGTATGAGCACTTGCTAAAGACAGTGATTGAAGGAAGAGGAGCAGGATGTAGATCAAAAGCTGAAGAAAGATCAGGTTACTGTATTTAACAATAATTACTATTTAACAAAAATACATGTTTTAACTACAGGTAAACAATTATAATTCATTGGCATCTAATTCTACTAGTTCAAAGACTAATCCCGTTATAAATTCCCCTTTACGTTCACACGGACAGGAAGAAAAAAATGCATGTTAAAGGCAAGTATTTCAATGGTCCTTGTTCACAGGATCTGCCAAAATTGTCCTTGTGCTAATCAAAGCACTACTTCTCAGTCTTCCTTCTCCAGATACTTTCAATGGTTGGCAGGAGGCACAAGGTGAATTGTAGAGATCTGTAAAAGACTTCTGACTTATTAAAAGTCGCAAGTTATCACAACGGCTGAAGAAAGGGAACATAGAAAGCTCCTGAGCTGTTGTAGATCTGATTGCTTATCCCTATCTTGTTCACAGCCCCAAGATATTCAGCTACATGTGAGCCAACCAGACAACTGTTCGTAGACAGAATGCCTTTGTCATTGATAACTGATCACTAGACCACAGTCCAATCAGCTACTTGTTGCTGGCTGAATCTCCATTTGTACATGCCCTTGGCCTCAGCTCCTCTGCAGCCTCTCCTACTTTTGCTTGTATCAGCAGCTGTTTAAAGAGTACTCACAATGAATGTCAGGTTACTTACTTTCTAAAATCTTTCAATTCCTGGTTTTAAAATAATTATTTTCCCATCTAAGTCCAGATATAAAAATATAGAAAAAGATGACATTATCTTTATATCTATATCATCATTATATATTAAGAATAAAAGATTAGCACAAAACCCTGGAGTAACTCCACCTCCAGCTCTTCCCAAACCCAAGCAACACCAACAAGGCTGATACAAAAGCAAAGTACTGCAAATGCTGGAAATGGAAAAAAAAAATCTGGTAATATGGAGGTCTGAAGGCATCTGTGGTGAGAAACAGAGTTAACATTTCAGGTTGATGAGCCTGACCTAAACATTTTCAGCTATTTTGTTCTTAACTCACCTAACATAATTCTACTTCCTGCCAGCAATTAGCTTTCTACCCGTGTGGTTACATCGCTTCTAACATTGGGCACGTGAACATATCGAGCTGAATGTGTGACATTTTATCCAATCCTTTTGTAAATCCATTTATTACACTCCAAATACTTCTAACAAACATTATATATGCTGAACAGCAAGCTGCCTTTGATAATTCTGTGCTGGCTACCCTTCACTAACCAATGGATTTCCGTAACCTTACCATTTCTACTTTGAATCAGAAATGTTTTTGCTGATAATCAAGAGTAGATTATCTGACTATTTTCACTATTTTCCCAGGATCTCTGCTGAGGTTTAGAGGATTGAAACCCACTCCCCCCCCATCTCAGGGAAATCCTACAAAGATCATTTTTGTTTACTTTCTTCAATAAAGTGTTAAATGAGACACTTTCCAGTCTGTGTACAGTTTGCATATTTAGGGATAAAAGAAAATAGTTTAAAATCTTTCTCTCTTCAACACAAAACAAAATATCACTGATGATGGAAATCTGAAACAAACAGTAAATGCTGGAAACACTCACTGTCGCTACAGAGAAAATAAAATCGAGACAATTTTCAAAGCTTACTCTGTTTTTGCTCCAAGATATGACTTGAATGTTTCCAGCTTTTTCTGTCTTTCTCAAGTAACTCTGTTTATTAAGAAAGATGAAGTTTTAATAATGAATTTAAAAAACAATAGTATGACCAAACAAACCTAACATGGCTTTCTGAAGGGAAATTATGTTTGCCAAATCAATTAGTGTTTTTGAGGATTGTAGAGTCGGTAAAAGCAAACCAGTAAATGTAATGACCTTAGATTTTGAAAAGGCATTTCATAAAAGATTAATATGTAAGAAAAAAATGTATAGAATTGGGATTGTTTTATTAGTGTGGATAGAGGATTGGTTAATTGGCAAGAAATAAGCAGGAACAAATGGGTCATTTTCAATTTGGCCGGCTGACTACCTGAGTGCTTTAAGAAACAGAATGGGGCTTCAATTATTTGTAATCTATATTAATAGCTTAAACAAAAAGAGTAATATATCTAAAGTTTGCTGATAATACAAGGATAGTTAGGAAAGCAGCTGTTAAGAGGACACAGAGGCTGCAAAAAGATCGAAACAGGGTTAAGTGAGTAAGTAAAAAAGTGGCAGATGAAGTATAGTGTGGGAAGGTGTGAGGTTATTCATTTTGATCTTAAGGTTAGACATGAACATGGTAAAATTTGTATTATCTGGCTAGCACTGGGATCGAGTGGCACTGGAACATCAAAAATACCGGCTAACACAATGCAGCTCATGGTAATGTGCCTTGACGTATACTAGAACTGTTTAGAGTCTCTCCACCTTTGACTCTTTTCACCGTAAGCAACAAGGGAAAATACTTCATCTTTCAGCAGTTCTTTTGCAATCACTTCAGCCTGAAGCCATCAGTATTTTATTAGCAACTATAATATGGGTAGTGTCGTTTGGAAATTCTGGTCGGTCAGCCACTGGATTATGTGAGTTTTGTTATACAAGTATTTTGCAAAAAGGCGTGAAACTTTTAAACATTGATGTTCAGAAGAACTTGGGTGTACTCTTACAAACAACAAAGTTAGCATGCAGGTTACAACAGGCATTTAGCAGGAAATGGCACATTGACCTTTACTACAAGGGGTTTGGAGTAAAAGAATAAAGTCTGGCTACAATTGTATGAGATTTAGTGAGACCACACCTGCCATTGAAGCCCAAACCTAGGATATTAACTTTCCAAAATCCATGTCACCTCTGGAATTCAGTCTGGATCATAATTAAAAGCAGTCTGTAATGAGATCTAGAGACAACTGATCCTGGAGAAATCCAGACTTAGCATTGGTGAATACGTTATTTGTTAGTAAATGCTTATTGATAGCATTGTTGACCACTTTGTGAATGATTGAGAATAACTGGTGAGGTGAGTAGAGTTACCTTCTGTGACTAGGACATATATGGCCAATTTTCCACATTGTTGGGTAGATGCCAACATCATAGCTATACTAAAAACAGCCTGTTAGAGGCATAGTAGTTCTGGAGCACAGTTCTTCAAAGATATTGGGAGAAGATGAGGCTGAGAACAAACAAGAAAGTACTTCTCACTAAATCTCTATGTTCTCTAATTTCCCTGTACTTGTACACTTAATAGATCAGTGATATCAGGAGGAGGTCATACTGTCTGGTTGGTCCACACACCTGCATCATTTGCCATTCCATTCCAGTGTCTCCATTCACCTGCAGCTCTTCATAACGCTCACCTCATTCCTCAGAAGTAGGTATTGATGAAGCTGGATTTCTTTAATTCTCTGCAGCACGTCCCTTTAAGATAAACCAAAAGGTTCATTATCCCAAAACTGAGTACAGACATTTCACTTGTAAAAGAGATCTTATCCGTTGTATTATCATCCTCATAGAGGTACCAGAAATTTGGTTGTATTTTAGCCAATTGGGCACATAGAAAGATTATAGAATGATACAGCACAGAAGGTGGTCATTTGGCCCATTATATTTGTGCAGGCTCTTTGACATGACAATTTAATTAATGTTTGAGGCAAAGCAAGCAGCATCAACAGGAATCTCAATATTCTCCTTGTCTTCTGTGTACATGCATTCTGAGAAACATAGAAATAGGAACTGGAGTAGGCCATTCGGCCCTTCAACCCCACTCTGCCATTTAATGTGAAAATGGATGATCATCCAACTTAGTACCATGTTCCCTCTTTTTCCTCATTCCATTAGCCTTAAGAACTATATTGAACTTGTTCTTGTTTTGGCTTCAACTGCCTTCTGTGGCAGAGAATTTCACAGGCTCAACATTCTTTAGGTGAGGGGGTTTACCCGTGGAGAAATTAATAGCAGAAACCCTTACAGTTTTGGGGCACTGGAGCTCACTGTAATATTACAACCCCGCTCAGGATTGATAACTTCTTTAATAAAAAAGATATCCCCGTGAAGCCAACAGAAAGAAAACCGATGGACAAAAATTCACTTTATAAAGGTTTTACTCTAACACACTAAAGTCTACTCAATTCAAACATCAATTAACATGCAAAGGGTTTTCAAACAGAGATAAATTCCACTTTGAACAGCTGATACAAAGTCTGCTTATAGCTTCAAACACTCAATTTCTGCACAAATGTACTGTCCGAGCATATGCAATGCTCCAGTCTTTCCAACTCTGCCTCCATTTTCTAGATTTTTCTGCTTTCCATTTTGGCCCTTGGCCAACATTCACTTATAGATGTATTCCATTCAAATTCCCCAGGCATGGTTACCATTGACAAGGCACACATTTACAAATCCTCTCTCACTCAGCTCATAAATGTCCGATTGCACGGAATCCACAGGCACCCACTTCGCTGAATTCTTTCAATGGTTTGTAACAGCTGAAGGAACTGTGGATGCTGTAAATCAGGAACTAAAACAGAAGTTGCTGGAAAAGCTCAATGGTTCTGGCAGCATCTGTGAAGAAAAAATCAGAGTTAGCGTTTCGGGTCCAGTGACCCTTCCTCAGGGGTTCTGAGGAAGGGTCACTGGATCTGAAATGCTAATTCTGATTTTTTTCTTCACAGATGCTGCCAGACCTGCTGAGCTTTTCCAGCAACTTCTGTTTTCTTTCTTTCAATGGTTTGGTCAGGTCTGGCAATACTGAAACACCAACAATGGGTCTTGCCCAATCCACAATCTGTCTTACCATCTTCCACCCTCTGGAAATCTCAGTGTTGAATAGGTGTAACTGGACCTGGAATGTTGACTCTGCTTTCTGTCCATAGATGCTGCCAGACCTGCTGAGTTTCTCCAGCAATTTCTGTTTTTGTTTCAGATTCCCAACATCGGCAGTTCTTTGTTATTTATACTCGCTTAACATTTCAGGCTCGATTAGATAGAACTGCTGAAAACAATGCACTTACTGTGTCCATCTTATAGCTTAACAATGTCAACTTGGATTTATATAACAATTATAAAATAATAATACATCCCAACATCTAACAGGAAATGAAGGAAAATTTTGGTCAATGTTAGGGCAAATGGCAAAACATTATCCAAACCGGCATGTTTTAGGAATGCCTCATCAGATAAATGATACAGTGGGAAATCCAGAGTATAGAACATTACAGATAACAAGGTGTAGAGCTGGATGAACACAGCAGGCCAAGCAACAT